AGGCAGCCACGGTCATCCTTACCGCGCTAGCGGCAAGGCAGATACTAGACCTAGGACACCTGAAGGTTGGCCTTGCACGGTGTGAAGTGGAGCAAAGATATGTCGTTAGGAAATGCCAGCGCTGTTGGAGCTACCAGCATGACGCTGCGAGATGTGATGGCCCGGATCGTACCGGGCTCTGCCATAGGTGCGGAAAAGAAGGCCATACTTTTAATACATGTAAGGAAGATGAGCACTGCGTTGTATGTAATGAGCAGCATCGGATAGGTAGTGGCAAGTGCGCGGCCTTCCGTGAGGCTCTACAGAGAGCAAGGATGGCGGAGCAAAATAAAAACATCGAGGCCCATCCCCCACAGGCGCATCAGCCTCCCCCAACAACAGAGGTCACCAGCATGGAAATTGCCCAAGAGGTACCCGACATCAATGAGGTAAACTTGACCGAGATGCCTACGGATTCATCTCCCTCCTCAGAGGAGTTGAGGAGAGTGGATGAGGAGGTATTCAATGGGGCTGTCCACTCTACACTTATGGAGCAGTTTAGCTCTCTTTGCGACAGTGCCGCGGGAGATATCGCACGGGTCAAACCCCCAATTCGTCCGCCTACTCCGCCCCCTCCTTCTTCGGACGGGGACCTAACTGCTTCCACTCCTCAGACAATATCCCCTCAGGGTAGCGTCATAGATTTGTGCGGATAGACGTAAGAGACCCCCTCACCATGTGAACTTACTGGCTAGTGGTATAGACTCTAAAAATGGCTTCTAACGGGTTAAAAAAATTAAAGATACTGCAAGTAAACATTGGACGGGCCAAGGTGGCACACGACTTGATACATAAGAAAGCCTTGGAGATAAAAGCAGATATCATTATAGTCCCTGAACCAAATAAAAACATCGTTAAAAAATTTGGTTGGGTTGCCGACACACGGTCAGATGTTGCCGTCTACTTGGTGAATAAGTGTGTGCAAATAAAAAAGGTCACTAAAAAGGAAGGATTTATCAAGATTAATCTGAATGATGTGGCAATAATAGCCTGTTACATTTCTCCAAACATTAACACTACACAATATCAAGATAAGGTAGATAGTATTATTGAGGCGTCACTTGTAGAAAAATACTTCATAATCGCTGGTGATATAAACGCTAAATCCATTCTATGGGGGTCCCCAAGAAATGACAATAGGGGGGAATTATGAAACGAATGGATTTCATCGTTCGACTTGGTAGTGTTAAACAACGGCAAACACACCTTCGAAAGAGGAGAATCACGGAGTCACATAGATATTACCCTAGCGTCAAATAATTATGCAAACAAAATTATACATTGGGATGTACTAGACGAGAACATGTTTACTTTTCATAAGTACATCTTATTCGAGATAGGAACAAAGGTCACAACTAGGAACGGCAGAAGAACACTCGCTTTCAATAAAGTAAGATTTGTTGAACAGACTAGAAACTTACACGAAGAAGCTACCGACTTTCCCACCTTTAGAAATGCAATAATACGAGCACACAACTCGAGCAGTAATAACAAATATGTCACATATACTGTACCATACTGGTGGAATGACGAAATACAGCAAAAACGGACAGAATGCCTTAGACTTAGGCGAATCGCGCAGAGGAATAGGACCCAGCAGATAAAGGACGAGTATAAAAGCGCCAAAAATGAGTTAAAAAAGACGATTAAAAGGGCCAAGCGCACATGTTGGAAAAACCTGTGCGAGGCGCTGGAGAACGATGTATGGGGTGAAGCATATAGAATAGTCACCAAAACGCTGAGGTCAGAGACCCCGTACAAACTGTGTGATGATAAAATAAAGAAAATTGCGAATACCCTTTTTCCCTCAAAGCAGAACACATACTTCGTACAAAATGAACATACCTGTTCGAATGGCGTCAGTTTAGCAGAACTCACGAGAGCCGCAGAGTCCATCAAAGTGGGTAAATCTCCTGGATTAGACCGTGTGTCACCAGAAGCGATAAAACTATTAACCACATTACAACCAGAAGCGGTTATAGAAATCTTCAATCAGCTGCTTACAACACAAGAATTCCCTGACGAACTCAAGCGTGCGCGACTCAAACTAATACTTAAACCCGGTAAAGATCCGGACGAAGCCAGTTCTTATCGGCCAATATGCCTCCTTGACTGTTTAGGGAAACTCTATGAGAATATCGTCAAAAATCGCCTTGAAGAGGAGTTGAGAGAAAAGGACATTATCTCAACTAGGCAGTACGGATTTAGAAAAGCAAAATCGGCGGTAGATGCGGTTAAGCATATTACGGACACCGTTAAGACCACAAGAAGAAGATGGGCTGCTTTGATAATGTTTGATGTGAAGAACGCCTTTAATTCCGCCAACTGGGCACACATCATACGAAAATTGGAAACTGCAGACGTGTCGGGATATTTAATAAACATTATAAAAATATACTTAACCGACAGATATGTTTCAGTGGCTAGAAACGCAGAGATTCGATTAACAGCTGGCGTACCGCAAGGATCCGTACTAGGCCCAACACTATGGAATGTACTTTATAATGGGGTACTGGACATCGACTATGGCAAAGATAGCATAGCAATAGCCTACGCCAACGATTTAGCTATCTTAACGATTAGTGACATGTATTGGGAAATCGTAGATACGATAAACGATTGTTTTAACAAGGTAAATAGGTGGATGAAAAATAATGACCTAGAACTCGCAGGCAGCAAGACCGAGGTGGTCATTCTGAAGGCTCCAAGAAACGGACCAGATCTGATCTTTCAACTAGGTAGCAATGAGCTGAGACCAACTAACTGTGCTAAATATTTAGGCATCGATTTGGACAGAGGCCTAAGATTTACGAAACATCTCTCGAGAGTGGTTAAGAAGGCGGACAAACAAACAGCAGCCATCCAGAGAATAACACCTAATATAGGAGGTCCAAGCAGCACCAAGAGAAGACTATATCTACATATTGTACAATCGACCCTCCTATACGGAACCCCCGTCTGGATAGATGTACTAAGATATCAAAAATATAAAGATATGATAACAAGAGCACAACGCAAACCCCTACTTAAAGTCATAAGTGCGTACAGAACCACTTCTACTATTGCCCTACAGACCATAGCAGGTACGCTCCCCATCCATCTCTTAGCCAGGGAACGGCAGATGCTGTACGAAAACCGGAATGGTCACTTACCTCTGGTAAGGGCGACCATACGAGAGCAGATATTAACAGAATGGCAAACGGAATGGGAGGCACAGACTACGAAAGCTCAATGGACAAAAACGCTAATCCCAGATGTGGTTGCGTGGTACAACTGTAAATTCAAGCGGGTAAATTACTATTTTACACAGTTTTTGACAGAACATGGGTCCTTCAAGTCGTACACATTTAAAATAAAGAAAACCAACGATGATATGTACTCTACATGTCATGAGAGAGACGACGCGGAACATTGCATCTTTCGGTGCAATGTTTTCGCCCAAGAACAAAATAGGCTGCGGAATAGGTTAGGGGATATAAGGCCCAATAACATTATACATATAGCGTTGCTTAGTAAACAAAACTTTGAATTTATAATAGACCAGATTACGCAAATTATGAAACGAAAGACCATCCTGGAAAGAGCCGAACAAGATGGGTGAGGAGGGTCTCCTCTCGCACCATATAAGGGACCACTTAGAACTTTTTTCTCCCTTCTAAGTCATACGCGATACGTACGTGGATACCGTCGAATCAGCATAGCAGACGTAACATAGGTAATAAATACAAGCCCAAATGTACTTATATCCTTAGTTATTCTCTACTATTCCGAATAAACCTTGATCAGGATGTTAGAAGTCCTCTGAACTCTTTAAGAACCATACTCCTCTTCTTCTCTATCCAATTGTTCCATACACATACAGGCTCCTTTCATATCTCATAGTCTCATAGTCAATCATGAGCTTCAAAGGACGTATACTGCCCTTCGCAATAATTACTAGTCCTTGAACTATTGTTCCGAATCAGGAACTAGACCTTCCCCTATGTGCTTACCGCTCCTAGGCAAGCAGCATAGGATAACCTAAGACAATTATCTAAGAACTATTTTTCAGGCAGCGCAGGATATCCCCATGTTTCGTTCTCTACTGAACTCGTCCGGGGATATCACGCGTCGAAGAGGGGGTGGTTTTAGTTGGTAGGCGACTAGTCAGGGGGGCATGCGGGATATATATTCCATACTCTGGACTTTATGCCCTAGCATGTTTTTCCTCTCTGGATCGAATCCAACAGTACTAGGGACACCTTCCCTAGTCGGTTTTGAACCTTTCCACCTCAATCAAAAAAAAAAAAAGACTAGGGTTAAGGGGGGAGACATCGATAGGAGAAAAACAGATTAAGTTTATGTCAGGAAGAAGGACAATGGATGCCTTATTTGCTTAGGGAAATACGGTCAAAACAAAAGAGAGCTATATTTGGTATTTATAAATCTTGAGGAGGTATACAACATAGTTCCTAGACAATAGCTATGGAGATGTATAAGAGAGAAATGGGTTCCTAAAAAGTACGTAAGCCTCGTGAACAATTTATATGGGGGAGGGTACACTAAAATAAGGGCTTGTTGGTGTAAGATAGTGAATTGTGACATGTAAAGGAGATTCGGTAAAAGAAAATGGAGATAGCTGAAATAAAAATGTTAGGGTAGATGTTGGGTAAGAATAGAAGGAAGACGATCAGGAACTAAGAACAAGGACTGTAATAGTTTGAACGGCAAAACTACAAGTCCTGTGAAAAAAGTTAAATAGCAAAGTTGTAGCTAATAAAAAGATCTACAACTTTTATACTTACACTTTTTTACACTTTTTTTAGTAAGATTATTTATATACTACGCTCCCCAACACCACTTATATTTAGCCTGAAAATTAATTTAAATTTTGTCTTGGTCTGGAAATATTGGGAAACCTCGTGTAAATATTTTGCATTTGGTACATTCTGTTGGCAGGAGTTTTAATTTAAATCGATTCTTTAAGGAGGTAAAATTAAACTAAAATTATATTGTCATTCTATAACATTATTATTTTGATACTGAAACATATACTTAGTAATAAATTTCCCAATAACATTTTACAAGCGCAAAGCTATCTTCGTGAGTTTTTGTCGGCATTCGAACTATTTTTTCTGTATCATATATAATCGTATCCATAATCATCGTCGTAATCTTCAGGTGTGCAAAAGAAAAACTCAATGAGATTTAAAATTGGTCCTCTGGAAAACGGATTTAAGTATCTTCCTCTCTTGTCTCTGAGATACGGATATCGCTTGTAATTAAACATTTCATTGGTTGTAAGGTTCATGCAAGCATGGAGAATCTAAAAATGAAAGTATTAGAATTTGCCAGGTCTTTCGGGTACTAGATATTGAAGAAAAAAAATCCATTACTTAGACTATACTGTTTGTAAATAAAAAAACATATAGGTACAGTAACATCTCTGTAAGCGACCACTCGTATAAAGTCACCACCTGCATATTATAACGACCGATTCTGAGTTCTCCGGCATTATAAATGGAAATCTCCGTTCTTTTATACCTCTTTAAACCGACAATTCTCTTAAACGACCGCGGGTAATGATCAGCGGTATTTCCTAGTATCCATCAATGATAAAAACACCCTTAATAAACAGCAATAAAATTCGATCATTTTTGACAAATAAACACAAGGTACAAACTCCTTGCTATACATTTTATTTCTCAAACTTTTAGTTCAAATTTAAACCTTTATGTGTTAACCAGTATTACCTACTTACTAGTACTTCCTATTTTCCTTTAATTGTTGTTATATTTTCTTCATTTTCCAAAGAGTTCCATCCTTTTACTATTTTTTTCACTTTTACTATTTTCAAAGGCTTTGGCCTTTGTCCATTTATTAAATTTTTACTGAAATTGAGTAAACGAGGCCTAGCTGTAATTGTAATTTATTCTTAATTTGTAAAATGTAACTAGCATTAATCTTTAATGTTTAGTGATTTTATTCCAGTGCGTTATATACAAATATTAGAATTTTTTTTATAAAACACTAAAAATAGGCATATGTTGTAATGCGTAGCTCTTTGCTATCGCATCAATACTCTGATGGAACTCCGGAAGGGGGGCCTCCAGCCAATACCCAGAGGTCCGGTGAAGTTAAGTATTGGGTCTTACATGTTCTCTCATAAAGTCTTATAAGCATCTAAGTATGGAGTTATCTGCTCCCGAGTCGATAATAAATGTATTTATGTGATCTAAAATTCCTGTTCTTATTTTAATAAAATGTGTTAGGTTTAGGTCAAAGTTATAAATGTAATAATAATTCCGACTGTATATTGTTCGTGCCTTGGTTATTCAAAAAACCATCTGTGGATTTTCGAGTTTTCTCTGACCATCTTCTAATTCTAATAACCTTACTTTACTTTTATATCCTTTCCTTGTATTTGGTTGGTTGTTTAATTTTCTTTGCCTTTTCTGTGCGTAATGACGTGGACCTTATGTTGAAGCGTTAGGCTATGCAAAATTTGATGTTCGCCACCTATCATATCAATTATGGTGTCCTCGTTTGCTTTGGAATATACCTCTATTTTGGCCAAATTTTTATCTATAACTTATCACTCTTCCTTGTGTATTCTCATCCGCGTATTTATTGATAAAATTTCGTTATCACCTCCTGATGGATCCTAGAATTACCTACTTCTAATAATAGTTTATCTTTGTTTGTGTGAGAATTCTGTTTCACTGTTGCTTATATTGCTTCAGTTGTGTATTTTCTTGCTAAGTCTATTGACATTCCTTCCTCTATGTTATATCACTTTTAGTTGTTTTTCTAGTTCGTCTATTTCGGCTGCATACACGGCTGCATCTTTGTGTCCTTGCTTCTTCTTTACTATATTATGATTATTCCTGAGATTGTATTTTCTTTTGTTATTAAGTTTCTGACCTTATCGGTTAGATTTGTTTTGATGAGAGTAACAGCAGTTTTCTTATGTCCTATCGCTATTTTCTCTAAAAATTCCAGCGCGTCTATAAATAGTTTTTTCAATGATTCTATGACTACTATGATTTTTTCGACTTTACTCGAAAAATTCGATTATTTTTTCAATGCATTCATTTTCTATCAAAAAGCTCTTATCTACCACTATAGCATTATCATTTAGTGTCAATTTGTCCAATAATCTTGCTTGAATAAAAATTTCTTTGTCTGAGATACGGCCACCATAAACAGGACATACAAATGTAATTAAACCATATGTGGTTTATATATAGTGAGAATAAGTATTACACGACACTTGAGACACTTGCTTTTTTGTAAAAGTAATTCTGTGCACTCCAAAATAGTTCTGGTTTTACGAAATTTCTTAAAACTAACAGGTATCTATTTTGAATATTCTCTTTTCATGGCCAGGGGATTGATGGTTTTGATACTTCAGAAAGAACTTCCATCATTACTGAAAATAATTTCTACATGTGTTTGCTGAGACACCAAATGTGGTTAATTTTTAATTTAGCAAACAATAGAACAATACATTGTTTTAGCTGAAGTAATAATGGTTTCGAATTTTTGTTTTCTAACAAATTAGCAGCAAAACTTCACAAAGTTTTCTAGCTAATTTAGAGGGGGTATTCCAGTGAATGCATTTAAATCGCAATTTTTTTGTATCAAATTATACAAAGTAAGTTGTTTGAGTTTACTTCACAGATGGGATCACTTGGATAGCTTTCTCTTTTGTGCTGATTTTCAGTGTGTGATCCCTGTAACTCGGGACTATTTCGGATGGCTTTAAAACTACACTAATCGATTTACCTATGTTAATTTAGATTTTATTTTCCATAATTGTTGACGCTGTTGGATCTGAGTCAATCATTACATCATTTAAAATAGATACTGTACTAGATAGATGCCTTTGTTTTGCTCGTTTTGACCTTTCATCTCGAGTTGATATTTGTAAAGAGGACAACACTTTGTCCAAAGATCGAATAGGTAAATTCTCAGATGGAATAGAACTTTTTTTAAAAAATCGTTTACCAGTCCCCACATCTAAAAAATAAGTAAAACGTTATTTCAATGATTAAGAAAGAACCAGGCTGAAACAATATTACCTAAATAAATTTTCTATCAAATATGATTTACTTGATAAAATAGATCCGATTTCTTAGTCGGCTGCATAGATTCATGAATTTTGTCACAGGTTTCTAAATACGAAAAGCTACTTGCCACTTTTTTCGTAATTTCTCGTTCTTTGGAAAGGAGTAGAGATGTATATTTTTTGTAGGTACATCGAGTAGAACATTATGGCACTGATTAATATCTATTACTTTTTTTATTATCGCTCATAATTTTTAAAATTTTATAAAATTTATACCAGTTTTAAACTCTAATTTATTCAAATTTTTGACATTTGTCCGTATTTTTTTAGTTATCTATTTTGACAGCAATTGACCGCACGGTCGTTTGAGAACACGAATAATCATATAGGTTAATGGATCTTAAAATGTAAATAGAAAAATATTATATTTATATGTTTTCTTTTACATATATGTTTTTATATCTCTAACATTTAATCTATTTATTTTTATACAGTTTCAGGGCTTACCGAGGTACATGTAAGAATCCATCCTAATCCCGAAAAAATAAACGCTTCTAGCAATCCAAGAATATACAATATTCCGAAACCTTCTAGCGCTATACAGTACATTGCAAAGTAAATCGTAAAGGAACAATTAACTGCTATACTCATTACAAATAGAAAGAACCAGGTTCTATTTCTCAATCCTACGCAGTTGTAAATAAATGGACAATGATGATCAAAATATGAGACGCATCGATTACATATTCTACAATGTTTAGCCCTTAAAGGTCTGAGACACCTGCAAACAGAAAACTAGTTTAGTGTAAAATAAATCAAATCAAACACAAATACCAAATTTTAAATTTTATTTTGGGGTAATTTTGGACTTTTTCAAGATATTTATATTTACTGGCAATTCAATATCTATTAAGCCAGGGATGAGCAACACGTGGTCCACGGTCCGCTTGCGGTCCGTTAACATATTTATGCGGCTGACCCAGCATTTGTATTGAATTTATTTTATCGGCTTTCTCCCATTAATATATTGTTATAAAATATGAATACAGCCGAATATAAAATAAAAACATCTTCTTCTTATCGTGCCGTGCACCTATAGTGCATTGGCGAATTATCTTTAGGCCAGACGTCTGTCTTTTGTGGCATGCAAAAGATCGCCAGTGTTATTTATGTCTGTCCAGTTCTTTATTTTCCGTAGCCAAGACATTTGTTTGCGACCTACTCCTCTCTTGCCTTCAATATTTCCCTGGTTGAAGGATTGCGTATTTTTTTCCTCTCTTCCTGTCCATGGTATGCGGAACATTCTTCGTAATGTCCACATTTCGAAGGCCTCCAACTTATTAATGGAAGGTACTCTTAACGTCCATGTTTCCATGCCGTATAAAAATATGCACCGTACATAGCATTTAACCATCCTGTAGCGGAGATTGAAAGAAAGATTGCGGTTACATAGTAGCGGTTTAAATTTTAATTACATAGATACATAATATTATAAATAATATAATATATTTATTATTTTAATAGGAATAAGCCACAATTGAAGGTTAAAATAAGTTTATTGACGTTTCAATCTCCGCTTCGGAAATCGTTCTCAAATACAAACATTGATAAATTAAACAAAATTACACAAACATTTTTTGGTACTTGGTGAAAAAATCTTCTAATAATTTAATTTTATCTGACTCATTTATATTGACAATTCAGACCTCCAGGAAAGGTAGTGTGTGTTTTATCTAAAACTAAACCCAACAATGAAAGAACAAATAATTGTATTTATAAAATACTTTGTTAATGCGATTAGTTTTATTTGATGAAACATCAATGCTTTTAAATGTTAAAATAAGTGAGCATGAATCTTATATTAAAAAGCGAAAATTTGATAGATCTCAAATATGCAAACAAGCAAAACAAGCATGGGAAAATGAACATAGAGTTCAATGGAATGATTCAAGTATAGTCCTAAAAGAAACAGATGATAAAAAGAGAAAAATCATAGAAGTGACACTAATTATGCTAAATGAAATCAATTGTATTAAACTGTTTGTTCGGGCTGTTAGGCCGTTGTCTTCTGAGATTAGTTCTCGACGTTTCACCAACACTAAGGGGTTGGTATCTTCTGGAGATGTTAATGCTTCGCTTGTAAGCAGAAACTGACGCCGCGTTGTACTACGGAGGCAATATTTATAACAAGGATCTACAGACCGAGAATTTGGCATCCAAATTCCACTGATTTTCGCAATCGTACTTGTAAGTTCGTATAGTCGGCTGGAGTTACAATTTGCCAAATTTAAATGTAATCGTTTCTACTCATTCATATTAATATTATAATGTATAATATATTTAAGTTTTTAATATTGGTAATATTATTAAAGCTTTTAATACTATTTTTTAATATTAAGAATAATATTAAGTAATTAAATATTGCGTCTTACTTAAAAAAAGTACGAGATAAACTCGTTTTTTATATCTTTACGTATGCTAAGGGTAATAAATTAAAATCCTTCAATACAAGACTAAAGGTAGGTACCTATAATTTGAATAAGCTGGTTTTGCCCATACTGACTTTCTAATTCTAATTACCTACTAATTTGCATAACAGTCAGATATTGTACCTGGTCATAATGCTGTTTTAATATTAGGATTTTCATTTCGCTTGTTGAAACTTCATCCGATATTAATTTCTTGGAAATTTTTATAAGGCTGAGAGTACTTAATCGGAATACTCGAGTATTGTTGAAAAAAACTGAAATTGAAGGTACTACACAATCGAAGAACTCAAAAAAATTAAACATTCCCGGTATTCTTTTTCCAGATCGTATTTTGTTTTCGAGATATATTTAAATTTGGGAATTTTTTATTATTTTTCCACTTTTTTCAGGTTCTTTTTTAATTTAATTTCAGTATATAAAAGCCTTTACAATATTATCCAAATTTTATTTGGAAGTTAATCTTAACTGTTCAGAAACAATTTGCTATTTAGGAAATGAAAGTTTGTTTTTTTTTCCTTAGTTCTTAATTTGCTATAACATTTCTAATTTGATTTAATAAAAAATATTGTAAATTCATTTTTTTGAATAATTATAACGACTTACATCCGAGTAGCTTAACACAATTAAAGAAAATATAACGAATACGCTCACGACTCGGAACTGAGTCTTTTCTTCTTTTCGCATAAAATATTACAAATTTATTTAAAATACCCTTTATTTAATATATACTTTATTTATTCATCACAATTAAAAAAAAATACTAGTCAGCACAGCGGTTGATTTCCATGAAAATACGCTAAGCAGTGATAATGATTGCATGTACCTAAGTTAATATTTTTGTCTTTTGGTTGGTGTTATATTGGAAATTTCCCCTCTCAAGGCATTTGCAAGAAAATTGCACTTTCATGTAAAAAACGAGTTATTTATCTCGTACTTTTTTTAAGCAAGGCGCAATATTTAATTACTTAATATTAATATTAATATTAAAAAATAGTATTAAAAGCTTTAATAATATTACCAATATTAAAAACTTTAATATATTATACATTATAATATTAATATGAATGAGTAGAAACGATTACATTTAAATTTGGCAAATTGTAACTCCAGCCGACTATACGAACTTACAAGTACGATTGCGCGAATCAGTGGAATTTGGATGCCAAATTCTCGGTCTGTAGATCCTTGTATATTTATATTTCCCACTCGCCTCCCCTCCACTGGTTTCGGCTTGAGGAGGCGTGTCGTTGTTTATAGTAGCTTTTCTTTCTTCGTGTTTGGCGGAAAGGACGTTTGTGGATTTTAATATTGGTATTCATGTCTTGTTAATTTTCAGTCCTTCTTCTATCCGATTGAAATTATTTGGGTGGTTGTATATTTCCACCGCTTCCCGATACAACCGTGGGTAGTACTTGGAAGTTTAAAGAAGATCTTAAGAACTCGGAAGAACTTAAAAAAGATCCCACAGCAATCACCCTACGGAAAATCAATAGACTTTTAAAAGACAAACGCGACCCATTAGCAACGGCCGTAGTATACCGAATACTATGCACATGTGTAATGGTATATGTGTGAACCACAAAAAGACACACAAAAACAGGATAAATGAACATAAAATAAAATCTGCCGTTGCCGAACACGCTTTGGGAAGCGGAGAACATCGGATACTATTTGAAGAAACACAGATGCTGGACAAAACTTCACAGTACTACCCACGGTTGTATCGGGAAGCAGTGGAAATATACAAGCACCCAAATAATTTCAATCGGATAGCAAAAGGACTAAAAATTAACAAGACATGGATATCAATATTAAATCCACAAACGCCCTTCCCGCCAAACACGAAGAAAGAAAAGCTACTATAAACAACGACACGCCCCCTCAAGCCGAAACTAGTGGAGGGGAGGCGAGAGCGAAATATAAATATTACCTCCGTAGCACAACTCGGCATCAGTTTCTGCTAACAAGCGAAGCATTAACATCTCCAGAAGTACCAAGAGGATTCTTTATGTCGTCCTATTTTGAAAAATTTAGGAATCTTCTTATATAGTGTTGCCTAGACATCTCTGTAAGTATTCTTTTTTGTAGTAAGTCCTCCAGTCTTCCTCAAATAAAGGAAAGTTCATCCACGGCTCCTTAACCAAAACACGAATATCCGTTCGCAAACGTTTTGATTTATTTGCTTACCCTATCTCTAAGCCTAGTAATTGTTCAGTCCCCCCTTTCAACCCCCATAAGCAAAATATAAATTGTTACAGTAATAAAGATCTGAACCAGTCTTTAAACGTGTACCTTAAAAATTGAACCAACTTGTTTTGGTTCTCTTGCAAATCAATCGGAATCTTTTTATGTTTAGGATGTTTACATTTAGTCTGCTTTGCAATACGACACACTTGGTCTATTCAGACCATCACCCGATAGTAGTCACATTACGAATCAAATTGAATCTGATTAAAAAACCCACATAAAGTAGAATTGATATTAAAAGATTAAGGGAACCACAAACCAAGAAACGAACTATAAAAACTCTTACTAAAAATTTACATATTGCCCAAGAACTAAATAGAAATATTTTTAACATTGATCAGAAATGGGAGACTATTAGGATGACATGAACTTTACAAATTTAAAAAACAATGGTTGGAAGAACAACTTTTAAGTAACTTGCCTTTAAATAGTGTAATAGTGTTGGATGATGCACCATACCATAATACATAGGAAGATAAATGTCCTACATCCTCAGCGAAAAATGTGTTATGCAGGAATGGCTTCGAGGAAAAATATACTATATAGTGCTTTTATGTTGAACGTTGATCTGTATCACATAATAAAATTGCATAAACCTCATTATGTAAAATATGCAATCGATAAAATTATGCAAGCATAACATGATATATTAAGAATCATCATACCATCCCGATTTGAACCCAATTGAAATGGATTGGGCAGGTTTGAAATCCTACAGGGGAGCCAATAATGTAGACCTTTATATTTACACCAATACAGCAGCTATCGGACGATTATTTTCAAACATTTCCTGTGGAAGAATGGAAAAAAATAACTGAAAATGTCATCGCCACTGAACGTGAGCCATTAATTGATGGTGTCGTGGATAATATGGTTATAAATGTAGACGAAGGTTCAGACAGCGGAGATTTTAAATTGAATTCTAAATGCGAAAACAGCGATTTTAATGATATTTGAATAAAAAATATTAAGTATATTTTTATGCGCAGTTACCACCACCTCTGATAACAATTTATTTTAAATAAATAGCTTATTATTAGCTTTT